TGACCTCAGTGACGCTTCAAGCCCTTCGTCAGTCATGGAGTTGTTCTGAAGATACGAAGGAGGAGGCATCTAAGCAACTTGCCAGTAACGTGTGGCATGTACAAACAACTACATATCAAGCTATATAAACCAATTTAAACTGACCTTCGAATGCACGGAAGGATCTTATAAAGCGAGATCAGATATACTGGTTTTTATACCTCGATATGTAGTCGTATGTACAACCATCGAACCACTATTTCAATCCATTGATTATCCTTTTTTTAGCTGATACCCTGTTTATCCTTCGTTTTCTTCCATATAAGCGTTGATATGTCAAATCCTGTGACCTCCCTAGCTAACATTCTATACGTATTTTGTCTTTTCGATAAAATTGTAATTAATAATGCTACGGCCACACTAGCGGGAGTTTCTATCATACATTTGTGTTTACAAGTCTTTATATCAATATCAACAGCCTATAAATGCCCACTGCTGAGGAAAGCCTCTTCTCACACGGAGAGGGTTTGAGCATTAATCACCACGCTTGCTTAATGCGGATTGGCGATTACAAACTTATGATTAGAAATTATAAGCCCAGGTTTCCTCACGATGTTTTCCTTCACCGTTTGTCAGTGGTATCTAGATAATCTTAAAAAGTACATATAACTCGGAAAAAGTCACATTTATATTCACCCTCACGCATGAGAAGGGGGCGTCTTAAACCTCCTGGCCACCACGACACTACAACTCTATAGACAAGGAAGTTACTCTAAATCTCAAATGTTATATCATGATTTATCAACACCCTATGAGAGGCCACGGCTGACCTACGGGCCTCCTCTGCTATAGAGGAGCCTTGCCATAAACTCCAAGCTTAGCAACTGGGATGGAGATTGCAGTTTGAAAGGATTAAAGAACAATATTGTCCAGCTTTTATTAAATATGACTGTATTCTGCCGTCGCACCCTAGCGTACGGCGCGTCGCGTTCCGCGCGCGCCTCAAAGAGCCATCAGACCACCACAGATGGGGCCCAACAGGGCCGATGCCGATTCGAAGTCGGGGAGAACCTAACTAACGGGTTACCGGGGCTCCGACTCGACGTGCAGGAGAAGGAACGGGGTGGTTTTTAGTCAGTAAGATGCTGATACTCCCTCCCGCCTCACCCAGGCGGGAGCAGTCATTCGATGATTTTCCCTACATAAAAAAAAAATTCTACTGTCGCAGGTAATTTGCGATAAATATTATGGCCGTAGCATTCTGAAATCCTGACGCGGTGACTCAATGAAGGTCACAGGTGTTTAGTATCCTAAATACTACTGCTTCCGCGTCATATGATCCTATTCTAACTCTTACTAATACTATAATGTAGAATCTATGCACGTACCTACTTATTTAGATATTTTTTGCGAAATAAGAATTAAGTTTTTGGGTTTGACATTCAATATAATATATCACGTAATATTGATCTGTAGGAATAAAGATCAAGAAATTTGAATCATCATGTTTAAACTCCTAAACAGAACTACTGATTTTGATGACATTTTATACACATAAAAGTGGATTGTCAAAAGTCTCTTCTGAAGGCTAAAAACTTATCGACTTAATCCTTATTTCGGAGCACAATCATTTAATAGTTTTACTATATTCATGCTTTTCATAACCCTAACATTATAACAATTGGAGTAACTAGTTGATTCGACGGCATTAGCTCGCGGCAAGTTCATTTAGAGAGAGTAGCCTCCTCCTTATAAAATCTTATGTGTACATACTTGTGAATTTACGTGTATTCGATGTCTAAAGTATCAACTATTTATCTAAAGCTAGGTCTTCACTAGCGATTTTAAATATACACGGTGACATTCGGTTAATAAATTGTCATTTTTTATCTGTGATTGCAATGCTATTAATATAAATCGTCGCTAGTGTGTACCCAGCTTAATATCATATTCATAAAAATTTTGTTCTAGAACTTATGCAAAGTAATATAATTCTTGTTCTCTCATTTTCAAGAGCTATATTGGCAGTTTCATATACACATTATCTTATAAAATAAGCATTAATTATCATGCCAATGTTTTATTATAATCATATTTAAAATGTATTTGAATTTGATGTATAATATTATAGTTTTTGTCTATGTAAGTTCCTCCTCCATATTCATTCCAAAAATTTTGCTAGGAATTAATGTTAGGTAATAAGTAATGTTAGGGGAGGTGTAATAATTATTTTTCTGTACGTTATTTATTTTCTCGCCATTTTTATTTAACAATTGACATTTAAACGTCGAACTCGCGTGCTTATCACAGGCCACAGATGAAAATAAATATTGTTTTATTTTTTTAATTTTGCTATTTTGAATTTCGTGTGTCTATTCCATAGATTTATGAATATAACATAGATGTCTGGCTATTGTCTACGGGTAGAATTTAGGATCCATCTTGACGGTAAATTCATAAACATACTGTTGTTTCTTTTTTACTTATGTCTCTTTGCTTATGCAGAAAGAGACAACACATTATTGTCATTCTGGCAATAATTTTTTGACGTCATCAAAAATACCTAGTTGTGCCGAATTGGCCATCTTAGTCCCTGTTATCAGTGCATGTCAGTGGTACATCAGCTGTCAAAGCATTGGTCAACAATATTTTGTTACGAAAATTTGTAGAATTCCTGTTGTTTTTGTGCGTGGTAAACAAAGAAATTATTGGTTAGTGAGAAGAACTATGCCCGGGTGCAGTGTTATTGGATGTAGCACTAAAAATATTACTAAACCGGCAGGTGTAACATTACATCGGTAAGTACTGTTATTTTTCATTAAAATATCTCTGTTTTTCAAACTATTCAAGTGTGGTTGCTGCAAATTGACTAAATACAATACTTTTCTAACTAATGCAGTGCTTATTTTCATTAATTTTAGTTGAAATACGTCTAAAACAATTTTCATTAAAAAATAGTGATGTACATGATTGTTCCCGTATCGATAATTTTATCGTACATAATAAATGCGTCAAAAGTAGAACAAAGAACTATACTAAATTCTGAATGATAAAGTGCATTAATTTGACATAATGACAAAATACAAAAAACATTAAGTACTCGTCAAAAATTTCATTTTATCGACAAAATTCCACCATCGTCAATACCTACGTAATGTAATAAATATTTAATACAATAGAGAATAATTTTTGTACAATATGAGATAAGGAATAATATTGTGGGAAATGCATTTTTGTCAAAATTGATTTTTTTATCAAATGCCGCTCGACGGATTCAAATGAAACAAACAAATGAAATATAACTTTAGGGTATTCTTAGAGTATTTATTAGAATGTGTCGAACTCTGCCGATAATTTTAATAATATTATAAATTTTCTTTTTAGTTTGTGCTTGAACCACGCAGAAGTTCTTGGCTGGAAATAATTAATGTGGGAAATATAGATACTAGAAGGAAACATATCTTTGTTTGTTAACTTTATTTTGAAGATTAATGTTTTAACCGAACAATAAATTAATAGTAAATCTACGTGATGGGGCCCTATCGCTACAAGCTCTATTGGTAAATCATAATGTAAACGATTCATTATGTGTTTTGTTATATTAGTTTTGGAAGCATTTTTTGAAGAGGTGCAAACTTAACATTTTATTTAACATTTATATTAAGTTCATAACTAACCGGGTTCTTGTACCTATATGTTTCTGTTTTCCTCCGCTATCTATCACTATCATTGTAATGTACAAACATTTTCGTTCAGAGCTTAGTACAGTACCTATAGAATCTATAGAAAAATCTATGTTCAATTGGATCAAGTAAGTTAAATTATACTATTTATGTTGCAGCCTCTAGCCAGATATGTGCATGAAAATGAACTTGGAACCAGTTCTGGAGTCTTCTCGAAAGATGGTTTTGCAGATTACATTACAGGAAGACACTACGAAAAATACGAAGATATTGTATATTATAAATCTTAATTTTATGAATACTTTGATACAGTTTTATTTTTTAACCCTCAAAAATTACTTAACCTTAAGTATATAAATATTGACCAGTTGATGGAAAATCCTTTTCATGAATTTCGATACATAAGTATCGTGAAAGTTATGATGTGAATGTATAAGCACGATCGACTGGAGTGACAGTGCACGCAGCAACTACTAAATATATTTCGCTAATATGTTGGTAATGTTTAGCAGCTACATAAAAATTAAATCCAGATGAATCATAAAATAATGATATTTTATTGATAAGTCAATTAAAACCAATTCTAAAATATCGATATTTCTACAGTTTTAAAAGTTACATCCCTAGTTCTATCCGCCATTACGGGTGACCAAGTGAAGTTTATGTAGGCACGATTTTTTCCTAGTTGTTTCTTATCCATACTCTTATCATATCAGTGGTCTATTCTAGCCTGCAGTGCTAGCCAAATGCCATTTAGCGCTTGTCTACATGTAGAATAGAAAACCAAATTATATGGAATTGACGTAAATTTTGACACTTGTCAGTGTCATCCCCATACATTTTGATTTCTACTCTCTCTGTAGACAAGCGCTAAAGTGGTTTTTGGCTAGAGGCCCTGTTCCTTTAGTTTGCTATTACAAATGACTGTTCAGTCTTTATTGCGCTTTCGTCTTAATGTAAGAAGCAGCTATTGATATTTAATAGTCTTAAATCACTGCTTATAAAATGTAATTAACTTTTATATGTAATATCGGATAAATAATTGGTGGAGATATGATTTAACTTTGATATTTTTGATGTAGAATTAAAAACTGTTTTCTGGTATTGGTGTTTGTGAAATCGGCCAGTGTAAGCAACATAGGTACTCAAAAAATATAATTATTGTATGTATGGATGTCTATATAATCGTAAGTAGACGTGTTGAAAACACTTGGACTGAGTCTAAAAATATCTATTTTTAAGATTGGTAGGAGTTTATTTTTATTTAAAGCGGCGACGCACACTTTCTTCTAAAACAATTGTAATGAAATGATGTAAAAATAAATTAATATATTCATGTTTTTTAAATGATTTTTTATTTTAACAAAATACAAGAATATTGTACAAAATAACTTACAAGTTACTATCTCAGTTTAAAACATGTAATGGAATCTCCATTCTTAGTCTCAGTAGGACTTAGATACTAATTTAAAACTAATATAAAGCCGGCACACAGATCTCTTTAATGGCACAAAATGCACCTTGAAATCAAATGCATAGAGTATACCGAAATAAAGATAAACAAAAGTATCTTTATATTGTATTGTGAGTTAAAAGAACATGGTAAGACATTTTGGCGGGCATAATTTTCTTCTTCATGAAAAAAAGGTTTTGTGTCCACGATTCTACCATAGAGAACTGAACTGGCATAGTCTGTAGATACACTACTTCATATACTCTAAATCTACAATATATAAAAATGAATCCCTATTTCCCTTGATCTTTTTTGTTGTATTTGTTATTATTAGGAGAAGGTTCTTATGTAAGAAAAATAAGAGATATTTTTCGATTATAATATAAGTTCGCTGGGTCAGCTAGTCTTAAAAGATAATTTATGCTTTACAGAGAGCAATACTGAAAATAAGAATTTCAGTGTTACTGAAGTTGAACATAAGATTCAATGATTAAAGATCACCTTGCGACTGACTACTAGAGGTTAGATAATGTTTCAATTCGTTAAAATGTTTCACTATCCAAATATATGTTTTTGCATGTTTAAAATATTTAAAAACATCATGGTTACGGTCCTACACATTGTCTTTTGACTCACAATTTACAACGATACATACATTTTGTATCTTCATAGCACATTTCATTGCTATAAGAGCATTCACAACACAATCAAATACACAAACAGATAATGCACTTTAGTAAAAAAAAGTTCTATATCCCATTTATTACTTGCGAATTTGTTCACAGCCTTTCTTGCAAAAATTCCATTTTCACACAAAGACAAAGTGAACAAAAACAATTTATCATTCAGTGCATTAATTGTCGAATAAATATGTTCTCCACAAATATTTACAAATAGGCATTCACTCCTCTATACGTAACATAACTAATACTTTGTATATGACTACTTACAATGTATCTAAACTTAGAATTACAGTCATCAACAACATTATAATACTTGATAATAAATATTGAATTCCACGTTGAACTAAACTCATTCACTTTACTACATTTCATTTCCAGCCACATAACTAATTAGCTACAATGGAAGTATTTATTATTACTATCACAAACACTGGCTGTAGATTCAGTGAACCGCCTATTATTATGATTTATAGAATTTCATAAAACGCTTACAGTTTGTACTATACATTTTTACACTCATCTAGTTTAGTTATCTTGTCATTATAATATAAATTGTCTTCACTACCGCACAACGTCATGTAAGTACGTTTTTATTGTCTAAAGTACGATAAAGTATTTCCTTGGGCACTGTGTCTAATTAAATTATTATATTTACATTTTCTTCCGGAGCATTAACAGGAAAACGGCTAGAGCCTCTAGCTTTAGTCGAAACTTTTCCTCATTTTTCGCGATTTGAACCAAATATTTTATGTTGAGTGCTCTACAACTTGACCTCGGCATTGACGGAGTGGTTGGTTCCTGCCTCCGCCTCGCGCTGCTTCCTTGGGTCTTGCGTGGTGGTGTTCCACCATTGCTCGTCACCTGAGGCCCACGCTACGAACACCAAGTTCGTGAGGATGAACACGGCTAGAGCTATCCAGAACACCAACCTCCATTGTACCAGCGTACTCTGAAAATATATAAACATGTTTGTAAGTATATACTTGCTTGTTTACGCACCATATAGGTAGTGTGATTTAGAATAGGTAGCTATGTATGGAAAAAGTAATTGTGTAGAATGAAAACTGCTCTATTTGTTTAATGACTTCCACATCTCAATAAAGCTCACCATACAAAATATAGACGTATCTCAAATAGGCAACACACCTGTGTTTATATTCTAAAACACATTACATAAAGTGTGCCAAATGTCTTAACATTATGGAATGCAATAAAACAAGTATCGAATTTAGTGATTTCCATAACAGTCGAAGCCTTTTTGTTGCCAAAACCAATTTCAAGGACTTGTGTTCGATTTGCCAAAGTAAGTTCGTGTTGCGATACAATACGCAATTCGTTCCGGTACTTACATCAGGAGTCAGTAAGCCGACTAGGTATGGAGCGATGATGCCAGTAATAGCTCCTATGCCATTCACGATCGCCATTATAGTGCCAGCATATTTGCCACTTAGGTCAAGTGCGTTCACTTTCATGCCAGGGTAGAATGCTCCCATCAGACCCATGGAGGCGGTGAACAGAATGACCACAGCTTCAGTGTTGCAGCCGGAGTACGACGCGAGGATCATGCAGATACCAGGACCGACAGATGCTGTAGAGAGAAAATTTTGTGCTTAGTAATGATAAGTTTCAGAATATCTACACATAAAGGTGAAAATCAAATAAACAGTAAATACTAGTTAGCACAATACTTAGTTACCAATTTGAAAGTAGGTACCTATTTAACTTTCAATGTTTTTACGATCGCAATCATAAAACTATGAACTAACATAGCGAAATCTTACTCAATTATCATAAAAGTGTGCAAACAGTTTTACCTAATTAAATAAAGAAAACAATGTCATGGTGTACAATTAGCAAGTAAGTACATAAGTGTTACATACCGATGGTGGTGAAAGTCTTTCTAGCGTTGGTGACAGTCAACCAGTTTCTCTTGACAATCTTGTCGCAAATCCATCCGAATGCGATGGAACTTAGCCACATGACTGCGTAAGGCAGGGCTGCAAGCGTGCCTGTCCTATGGATGTCGAACTTGAGGACTCCTGTCATGTACTTAGGAAGGTCGGTCACCATCGTGAAGTACCCGTAGTCGTGACCGATCTGTTGACAACGAATTATCGTTAGTGTTGCAATAAGTAACATTTGCTGGTGAATTGTTAGAAGTAAGACCACCTTGAACGTGGTTTGTGGTTTATTGTTAAACTTAATCTAAAAATAAAGTGATAAGTGTTATGGTAACCTCACGCGGTTAAGGTTGAAGTACCATGACCCTATTATGTAATATTTGCGTATCCTATATAAACAACTTGACCCCTCTTTCTATAAGGTTGAGAATATAACAGTTACGCTCCTCGCTCTCTTTTCAGTGTGTCCTTGATCTTCGATATTCAAACTAACCCTTATTATATCGTACTAGATTATACATTCCATGACAGGGTCACTTTTACCTCATCCATCAATCGGTAAACAAGTTTTTAGGCGATATAACAATAGGGGGTTATGAAAATTTCGTTATATTCAGCCAGAACCTCTAGATTTTCGGATATTGCAAGATTTCGTGCGGTTTAGGGCAAGACCATTCTTAAGCTTCCCCCCTATCAAAATATGTTTAAGATTTTATAAAGGAGGGGCTTTTCGAGTCAAGTCCACTCCTACCCTGTCCCTTAGTATATCTGTTTTTATAAGTGGGGAAAATCATCGAATGACTGCTCCCGTCTGGGTGAGGCGGGAGGGAGTGTCAGACTCTGACTAAAAACACCCCGTTCCTTCTCCTGCACTTCGAGCCGGAGCCCCGATAACCCGTTAGGTTCTCTGCGACTGTCCCCTAGTGTATATTCTTGTTTCCTTGACATAACAATATGACCAAAGACGTAGGTTTAGAAGAGTCACAACAGGTGATTTGAGTCCTACGTAGATAGGTGTAACGAACTACGTAAGTCACCTATTAAAAAAACCGAATGCGGTCTCCATATGCAGCTAACAATAAGCCTTTAACGATCAAATTTCGTCTTGTTCATGTTTAACACACAATAAGCAGTTATGCTAAGCTGATGAACTTAATGACTTGATGATCTAGTCGTACACTCCTTTACTATAGGTACGTGTCGTTTGTTTTGAATTAGGCGAAACTGCACGTGTGTGTGTTTACATGTAGAGCACGTGATTGAGTTAGGGCTTGATGTTAGCTTGTTATGACTACTAATTGTAACCTCAATTCACACTGTTTGATCTATATGATGATGGTATACATTTTTAAGTTCTTAAGGCACTTTATTACGTTCGAAGCTGGTTTGTTCAGACTTTTTTTTGAGGAAGAAAATCATACAATAACTTCTCCCGCCCGTGTGAGGCGAGAGTGATTGTCAGACTCATACTGAATAAAAACCGCCCCTTTCCTACTCCTGCACTTCGAGCCGGAGCCCCGGCAACACGTTAAGTCTTCCGCGGCTTCGACATTTAGAGAACCTGGTAGGCCTGTTAATGGGTGGTGATGGTAATCACTAGTCTAACATTCCCTAATTTTTCACCGCAAAAGACTTACTCGCTGTACCTTCTGAAGATGTCCCCAGTTATACATTTTAAAAGGGTGCTTTACTATGCTTAATTCTGCGATCCTGGTGACCCAAACAATTTTTAAAAATGTGATATGCTATAAATAAATGAATTGTAGTGACAATCGGTTTGTGACCACAATTTTTTAGCACCTGATTAATACAATGATTAGGACAACTTATGTAATATATCGAAAGGTAGTGTATGTTATCGAGGTGTCGATAAATCTTTGAAAAAACACGACCCATTTTTTGTTATTTTATGAATCCAAATAAACAGTATCTAGTTAAAAATATAACTTTTCATGAATAAGATGTATAATGATGCAACTTACGCATTAAGGCCTTTTAAAACCGGACTTTATAATCTATTAATTACCTACCATAAATAAATAATAACTCTTTGCTCAGCTATAAAACAATAACTAAAACTCAATTCATAAATTAATTCAATTACGTATTCTTTACAGCCATTCTTTATTTCGTTCCGTTGTATTTTGTTCCGTTCGTTAACTGCTCTGGGCCTTTAGCCAAATGCCACTTTAGCGCTTGTCTACAGAGAGAATAGAAATCAAAATGTATGGGGATGACACTGACAAGTGTCAAAATTTACGTCAATTCCATATAATTTGGTTTTCTATTCTACATGTAGACAAGCGCTAAATGGTATTTGGCTACAGCTGCTGGAATTCATTTTATGCCTAATATTTCACTGGCAACCTCCAAACTTGGTTAGTAGATACTTCGACGGAATAATGATGAACAAAGACGCGCGGGTCTAATACTAATGCGCCAACCGATCTAACTAAAACTTAGTTCCTGAATTACGTACGAACGAGATTTAGGAAACAGATCAAGGTGATAGAGATTAGTACTACGTAACTTGTACCCACGGCTATTGAATAAGACCGGATTGGCTAAACGGATAAACAAATTCGTCCAAGGTAATTTTTGCAACAAAATCTTGTATGTAATAAATCACTTAGCTATCTACACCTAATATAAGACAAGACAGTTTCCGTTACACAAGTACCTCGGAAACATATTGGTTCTCATCTCTCGATTGTAAATATGAATCGATAACATCCATTGAAATAATCGTTATGAGTGAAAGTAGCTATACAATAGATTTGTTATTATACTAATTTCAATAATACGGAAGGACTTTAGTAGCGGGTCGAATGAGCATGCTCGATCGGAGTGATACCACGACTTTACATAAGTAATACTAGCGTGAAACAACGCAGGCGTTGTGTTTCGTCGTGTGAATGAGGTTACCGAGGGCTCAATCCCCCAATAGTCGGTAAGGTACTAGTAAATCCTATCGTGTTGCGGACCAGGGTGCTTACTCTTGAAACCAATCTCAATTTCAATACAATTTGAATCCAATAAAATCTCAATAATTATTCAATGTCAAAACTATACAACCCCTATCGTAGCTGTTAAAATAGCATTACAGAGTACGGAATACAAAGCCAAACTCAATATCACTTAGTTCATTCAATATCCACGCAATACGTATTCAACGGGCGCTAGTGTTGCAACTCAAGAGTACCTACGTAATTTCACAATACCAATGTCAATCGATCGGAATTGGATTCAAGAGTAAGCCCCCTGCTCATTTGCCGTCTTATCCCATAAAGAAGAAAAATTACCTGAGCGCAAACCAGGGCCCAAAGTGGAACCGACATGAAGATGGCTTTCCAGGGGATTGCTGATGGAAGACTGCTGCGGTGACTGCCTAGCGCCTCTTCAAGATACTTCTTCTCTTTGTCCGAGATGAATGGATGCGACTCAGGGTCATTGTAGCAGAGGATCGCCTGAAGCAAAGAAGATTACATTTAAGAACCAATAAATATAAAATTTAATACGACTCTAACAGTCTACATGACTTCGGTTAACCAGCCGTACCATTTTGTAATGTGAAGTGATTTAATTTTATTCTTATCTTTAAATTAATCAATAAGGAACCACTTAATAATTACTTTACAGTCAGAACGGCGACAATTCTTTATTTCATTATAATTTTTTGTTTAATAAAGTTACTGGTAAATCACGTTTCTGTACCGTAAAATTAAATAATTAAAAGACAAATAAAACTGGTATTATGAACCTCTTACTTTACGATACTAGATACTGATAAGTATTATTGTCTCTATTAGGATCTTTCAGATCAACTATATACTAACACAAATGGGCATGCAGAAGAATAAAGGAAAAATAACTTACCCAAAGAATGAACCATAGAATCCCGATGGCACCAAAGAGGTAGAAGACAGACTGCCATTCACCAGTCTCCTTGATAACCAGTCCTGACAGGTAGGTACCGGCGATGTTGCCAATCTGTGCACCTCCAAAGACAAGGGATCCCATTCGTCCTCTCTCTGATATTGGCGCCCATCGGGCAAGCATTGCGTTTAGTGCAGGGAAGGTGAAACCCTGTAAACGATTTTGTTATTATAGATTTTTGAAGGTTTATGCTCCTTAGGTATTTTTTGCCAGAAGCTGAAGAAAGAGACTTTTTAATTACAAATTTAATTGCAATTAAACTCCTTCTTAATGCAGTTCATATTACATGTTATAAGAATTTTAAGTTTATCATTTAAATATTGTAGCTTGGATTGCAAAACAACTCGCTGGTTACACTCTACATTTAAATTAGAATGCAAGTAATCTTACCTCTCCAAGACCTTCGAGCACCCTCAAAATGATGAGTCCAGTAGCTCCGCCAACGTTGACAGTCCACGGCGTTAGCAGAGTGAAGACTGCGGTACTCAGTACTCCGAAACCAAGAGAGTATTTTCCTCCGAACCGTTCAGCCAGCATACCTCCAGGCAAGTGGGTGACTATGTACCCGTAGTAGAAAGCACTTAGGATCATACCTTGTGTCGCTTCGTCCCAGTCGAAACCCGTCAATTCCTGAAAGGGAACTAAAGTTAGTATGACTGCACATTTGATGCTGTACAGGAACGCCTGGACTATACGAAAAATAACGTAGTTTTAACTTCTATAAGGAAAAGCCACTTGAGTGGTTTCTATGTTTATGTTTATAAATGCACTCACAACAAAGGAGAAAATCGTTGAGAGGGGCAAAGTTTAACATGTTTAATGTGTATTTCTTGATGTGATATCCACAGAGGTCATGCATAATGCCAAGTATTATATAACTAATAGCCAAGCACAGCCATTGAGTAATCCATTCAATTAGAATTAATGAAACATTTGGTTTGACGAGCTGATGATTAATATAAGATAATCAAGTTCAGACAGTGATTAATCAGGTCAGTCACCTTTATTGTTTATATAACATCGTTATGTTACATCATGAAGAACATGATCTGTTTGTTTGTATAATTATTATTGCCTTTGTTCCAATGATGCCGTTGGATGTTGTCAGTGTGTTTCAAAAACCCACTGTACTGACAGACTGATTAGTATCAAATTTCATTAACGACCATCCTCTATATCAAAATCATACAAGTCTATATAATCTTCTTCATCCTTTTCAAGGACTTTTAAATATTATGTCTTTGAGTATTAACTATCGAACCTTTTTGATACAAAGATACCTACAATATTGCAAACAGGGTACTTATCTAACAGCATAGCGGATATGTCTACACGAGGATATTGCAATTTTCAATATGTCAAACATTTATCTCTGTGCGAAATCTATCGACAGATTAGTAATTATTTGGAATAATAAACATACCAGGATACCAAAACCAGGGTTATGTATATAAGATTTGATTGTTTCTTTATCGATAGAAACGGTAAAATAAAAGATGGACGTATGTCAAAAGAGATTGAAATAAACAAATTAATTATAGATGGTATTTAAATATAATATGGGAATCGACATGCATAATAATAAACTTTAAATATATAGTTACTGAACTATCTAATGGAACTTATATCACAGGATTCATAATCAATGGAGTCAAAAATACTTACTGTAGGGTCAGTGCCTTCCATGTTAACGTCTCCGAGGTCACCAGCGGGGCATGACCCATCATTGCCTGCAGAATGTGAGGGCCGGTGGACCATTTGCGTGATAGCTATGTTTAAACAAACACGCATCGTGTACGCGTTGGCGACCGCTAGGAACCCCATTATGGCCATCACCCATCTTTGAGGTATTATAAATACTGGAAATAAAGAGAAAAAACAAAATTAACCGCTTATTCTTAAAACTTCACTTTGTATTAATACGTATTATATCGTACCGAAAATCCCCGAAATTTTTCATACAAAAGTAGTCTTTAAACATCGGAAATAAGGTCTATAATGGAGTCAGTGGAGAGCGGTCACCGGTGACCGCTTGAGGATTGAATAGTTTCAAGTGTTTCCGAATGTATTCTAAAGAAAGTATTATTATCATCTTTAGCAGGAAAATTTCCACTGCTGGACAAAGGGCTTCCCCTCCTTACCTAGAGAGTTTGAGAAAGTTTATGGTTTCCTCAATTTACTAGGATTATGTAAATAGAGTGTCCTTAAGTGATGAAGATGTGTTTGGAAGTACGTCTTACGAACTTAAGATAGCGTATCACTTAACAATTGACTTCCCTGTGCAATGTGCTATTAAGAAGTAACTAAGAACGTCATCATGAGTTCAATTCCCGCATCGATCAAATATTTATTTGAAAAGAGAAAAGCTTAGGTTGGCACGATAAACGATAACATTAAAGTTTCGAAGATCGCAGAGCTGTTTTAAAACCGCCTACAAATTAGAGCTAGACCATAGTATCGGCCTAATTTTTTTATTGGCGTTTCGAATTGCAACCTCGTTACAGATTTGCATAAGAGCAACTATTAAATAAAGTTATTACTAGTAGCATGTACCACGTGAATTTTAAATTCTTAACTATTTATAATTCTAGTACTAAATTAACGACCGACAAATGAGAATAATGAATTTTACTCACGCAAAAAATATCTTGTTACGAATATTTTTTGTGCCGTAATTAACTTTTGAAGTAAATTGCTCTTGTTAATTAAATGTATATCTACCACAATTATTTGATTGTAGGAAGATAAAGTGTTAAGTTTGGCAGTATAAGTGAGTTTATTTGACCTTGACTTTGTTACGCAACCTCCTTAGCGAATTAAGGAATTCACTTCAACGATTGTGTAAATATCCGAACACAGGACTGTGCAATCGGAATATTTCGAATCCGATCATAAAATTTATTGGTCACAATGTAAGAAGGTCTCATACCAACCACAGCTTAAAAATAAATTTTATTTGCTGACCAACGACTAGAAAGTTGACGTCCTTTTTTGTATGTAATGTTTTTTTTGTTTATTTACAACTGCAGTGATCGTTAAGTTACGCAATCTATGTTAGGGTTTATGTAATTTTAACGAGACCGATTGCTAACCTCGATTAGTCATTTGGTTATCCTACTTATCTATTCGTTTTGTAATTTGTATTTGGAATTTGTTACAATTTTGACGTTTATTTCGGCCAGTACCTTAGTTCTCCTTCCTAATTTACCTACCTCTGAAGAATTCCACTTTCTCTTTCTAACAGAAGCATAATATGTTTTTTTACCATTGATAATAACTTTTAACTTTGAAGACAACCTCATTACAGCACATCAGAGACATATAACGGTATTGAATGGTTATTATGTAACTAACGATTAATCGCTATAGTTGCTCAAAACAACCAACTGCACGAAAATTAAACACGATTATTCTTAACACTAACTACAATCAAAACAAAACACACTTAATTATGTTTGCAACAGAGTTTAAACTGTCCAGAACGTAGAGAACTTTGTAACTTTTCAGCTCTATGACTTTATACCTACGTAGGTACTGTTTTTGTTCGGGCAACATACATTTTAGCCATTGTAAAGTTATCCGCGATTTGGTAACGGAATGAAAACCGGTGACCGTGATTTGACAGAAAACTGTCAATGTCGTGTCGTGGGGTCACCATCGATCGTAATGTTATTAGAAAAATGCAGTGACCCGTGGTTGAATGCAGCGTCAGGTCACAAAACACAATGTTAAGTTGATCGCCGTCTGATTAGCAAAACCCCGCCTAAAATTCGGGTTTAATGACCTTTTATTATAGAATTTAGAATTCGTGGAAACCGGTGAAACTGTAAAGACATTTTTTATAAAATGTTTATTATTAAATCTGGTAACAAAAGCTGTGCATGTTGAATGGATTGTTGCAAGAATGTGATACAATAACCAATGATATTCAAATCGATCTCTTGTGTGCTAATCATTTTTGATGTTGTTTTGTTGTAGCATGAAACCTTTTATAATAATACTAGCGACCCGCCTCGGCTTCGGGCGAGTGCAATATCACTCTATCTATTAAAAAAACCGCATGAAAATCCGTTGTGTAGTTTTAAAGATCTAAGCATACATAGGGACAGACAGACGGCGGATAGAGACTTTGTTTCATACTTACTACTACTACTATACTGTGTAGTGATGATACATACAATAATGACCAAGATCTTTAACTAGTCGAATAACTTGTAAGAGACCTAATACTTAGACTTATTTTAACAATGTAGACCTAGGTTCTTCGATAAACTGACAACGAAAATTGCTAGCAATTTAGAACTAAACAATAGATATCAAACAACTATACACATTGTGGTACAACGCGGAACTTCCTGGACGCCTTAAAACTTCGAAATTATTTGTAGACGTTAAAAAAATTGCAGGAAATGTGCGTCATATATTTCTAACGGGTCAAAACAAAACATATAATTGCTGCCATTCTCAAGGAATGTCAAGGAGAATTGTGGAATTATGTCATACGGTATCTAAGCATATAATAATGTAATTATCTTAATGCCATGTACTGGAAAATAGTTTATTACTAGGCAGAAATTTACTTGAAATTCTATAAGAGAATACCGATATAAATCAATTGCGCTTAGAATCCGCACCACCCCGTTCCTACTCCTGCACTTCGAGCCAGAGCCCCGGTAACCCGTTAAGTTCTCCGCGGCTCTGTATCGGCATCAGCCCTATCGGGCCCCATCCATGGTGATCTGATGGCTCTTTAAGGCGCGCGTGGAACTCTCGGACTCCCTAGCCCTGACTTTCCATTAACTGACGGGTTATGACTGTCACTATCTGTTCCTGGAGAAGTAATCTTGAGCTGATGTTGATCGGGCGAAGCCACAGTTAGGAACCATACTACTTTTTCCCAATCTACCAAATCAAATTACCTAACCCTGCACTTATCACTTGCGCAACGAAGCAATGAACGTCAAGAAACAAAATGTCATAAGTAATTACAATTACCTCTTTATAAATACGGACAATGGCCACCGTTGTACAGACATCAAATGAGGTATAAATTGTTGATAATAACTGACGATCGGTCCGTTTGTCATCGCATTGTTGGGCAGTGGTCCGTGGCGGATCTGGGAGCAGGACACGTTCCGATCTGATGTTGACAGATTATAACTAGCGGAACTGCTTTGAAATGAGGAAAACTTGATTAGGGACAAATAGTTATACCGCTGTTTAAGAGGCGTCTATAGTTGTGAATTTAATGTGTGGTATTTGGAGTGCTATAGAAACAAACTCCTACAAAATTTATGCTTCATTTCGTGTATCTAAGTTATAAGTTTTATTGTACATTGATGCCGTGTTTAGGCTCTTTTCGACATGATTTCAAGACTCTAAGAGAAACAACAAAAATCTAAGATAAGATACCAATAGAGATCGTCGTACAAATGCACTTTTATTAAAAGGAACGTGTAAGATAAGTCTCCGTTGCGTCTAATGGATAGTTAAGTGGTAGTAATTATCCATTTGTGTTAACCAAGTGCATCTATTGACACACTAATTGTTAAATGAGCTAAGGTGGATAAACTAGGCGTTAAAACAATCCCGTCTTGAATAAAATATCAAGGCAACACTTTCCATGTGAATACTAAAGGAGGTAAGTACCTAAGTATCTATTGTTTCTCAAGTTATCTCTACCACAACGTAATGAGGATCTTAGGTATTTGGCGTTTTGTGGGAAATCGCGCTGTAGGTGTAATTGCTGTTGGTCATCTAGGAAGACTAATAATTTGCTGAATTGACTTCTATTGATGGTCGTACGGAAAATTTTGAGTCGTTTAAGATGGTGCTCATGTTTTCTTGGTAAATACCTTTATTTTCACACATGTTCATATACAATTTTTATAAAGTCACGTCTACCTAACAGGTAAATAAACAAATCATTAACTCGTCGAGTACCGGTTTTGTAGACACAATTATAGAACAATAGGTTGCGGTCACCGGTGACCGCTTGGTGTTTGACAGTTTAAATCATAGTTCGCGGTACTATTAAAATGATTTACAAATTGTATTATATTTCCATGTTTACGTAAATCATGAATATTCACGGCATGATGGAAATTCTACAGTTGACTTAGTACCTTTAGACCTATCCTGGTATATTGTATGCTGCACAAAGCTAGAACTCATTTCAATGTCACTCTTATGACAGATGTGATCCAGGCTTCCTTTGTAAGTACAGACTACTAAAAGAATGCAGAATGAAATGTCATTTCGAAGGCAAGTACCCAACAATCCTCAGCGGCATCATCGTCAAACCAAAACGGTTTTATAATTTCCGTTCCGTCACCGTTCATAGAATACAGATCAAAGCACGGCCGTTAAAATTCCCGTTGACGGTTGACGGTCTAACACCGAATTGCAGTGACGTATGCACTGTCGACTCGGATCATTAAGCCGTACCAATATGGACCTGAAACCCACGTTCCTGTCAAGTCAGTTGCCTAATTCGGCATTGGAATCGAGAAACTCGTTAGAACTGGTCGTTTTTACATCGATCCGCGAAAAAGTTTCTATCAAAGGGCGAGGACACAACACTCGATTGCGTCGCAATCCAGACACCGCAAACATGTGCGACACTGTACAACTAATTGTCGAAACTTTTGATGAAATACCGCATTGTACAAATGAATTGATAGCGCACTTCTGATGGTTAATGTCTGTTTCTATCAGAATGTATATTGTGATGGCATTTCATTGCTGTATTAGGACGTCGTTTTGTGGTGCGTCGTCGCATCGCAGTGTTGTGTCCTAGCCCGAAGTGGATGAGTGGATTCCGTCGTACGATGCGACCGGCCAATGGCTGCTGAGCTGC